AATGATCTAAATTATTTTGTAAATGAACAGCATCCTCTTCACAGCTAGCAAAACCCTAGACCACATTGCGGTGGGGATACACCGTTTACCAGTCTTAACCTCCGTTTGATAGTCTCTCTTGAAGAAATTAAAAAATAATCAAAAGTAAAAATTACGAGAGCGAGATGTAGATGCTCTAGCCCGCAACGTCCCACATATATATCACCTATCACTGCCTAAAGACAGTTTTGGGAAAGTGACTGCTCTCCAAAGTAAAAGAAATAAAAAAATGATATAAGTTACTACCACTTGGGGGTAAGTAAGGTAAACCTACCTCCTGAGGTTGACATTCCAGCCCCAACTGTAGTAGTAAAGCAATAATTAGTAGCATTTCCGATTAAATTTAGATATATTTCTAGTTCAATAAAAACAATTATTAAACAACCGGCCATTTTATTAAATAAATCACTTAATATTCTACTTGATAAAACTAATAATGTAATTATCAATAATAAGAAACACACGTTTTGGGTAATAAAAAAATAATCAACCCATTTTAGAATTGTGAGCAAGTAAACAATATTCAAACATTTGAAAGATTTAATTTCTGTTATGAATTCATTAATAGAACATTTCTGTTATCCTTTCATAGTACTAGAAGAAAGAAAATTTATCTCTAAAAATATAAAAGATATATTAAGTTTCTGCATTTATAATAACTGTTTTTTTTTCCAATAACCAGGTATTTAAACAAGTAATAAGAGTTCCAATGGGATCTAACTATTCAACTTGTATTGCAAATTTATATCTTTATTTTTATGAGAATAGGTTTATTGAAAATTGCATAAACCCGGACAATTTTGCCTTAACTCACAGGTATATAGATGATTGAATTAGTATAAATTATCCTGAGATAAATCATTTTATTAATACTATTTATCAGGTAGAATTAGAAATTGAAAATACTTCAATTTCTAATGCAGAGGCACATTATTTGGATCTTGAAATTAAAATAATTGATAATGATATCAATCTAAATGTATTTTATTTAAAAAATATTATTTTTTCTTTTCCGATATATAACTTACCCTGTTTTAATAGTAATGTACTATTCTGTTATAACTATTATAACTTCACAATTATTCAGATTTTGTAAAGGTCTGTAATAAATTTCAATATTTCACTATTAATGTCGAAATATAAATACAAGAATTAATATTCAATGGATTTAATAAAGAAACTCTGAATAAAATTATTAAAATATTCTGTGATAAATATAAGAACGTATTAAATAAATATAAAGAAGTAAACATTGAAGAGATTTTGCTCATAGTTTCCAATAAGTATTCTTGGCTTTAATAAAGTCATTTAAACAACTTAGCACTACTTTTATGTGGTTGAACACCTTATCGGCTCGGCATGGTCAGGTGGTTAGGGCACTCGACTCGTAATCTGTGAGCCGCGGGTTCGAATCCCCGTCACACCAAACATGCTCGCCCTTTCAGCCTGGGGGCGTTATAATGTGACGGTCAATCCCACTATTCGTTGGTAAAATAGTAGCCCAAGAGTTGGCGGTGGGTGGTGATGACTAGCTGCCTTCCCTCTAGTCTTACACTGCTAAATTAGGGACCGCTAGAGCAGATAGCCCTCGTGTATCTTTGAGCGAAATTCAAAACAAACAAACACCTTGTCGCATATATTGGCTTATGTAGAGGCTGTAAATTAGAAGTTGCAGTGGACTTAACGAGTGGTGTACGGAAGTTATACTAGTTAGTTTAGGTAACTTCGTTGGGATTTTATACTGGTATAATCTGTCAATGATTTATGGAGTTTAGGAATAGCATGCAGAAAAGGTAAATTTACAAAAGAATTTGGCTTAGAATAAAGTTTTTTATAAGCTTTAATGAAATTATTAATTATGTATCGTTGGATTGGTTAATAAGTTTAAATGCTTGTGTTATATTGATTTGATTTATCATAATTGATGCATAAAACTATTTCCAAGTGAATCCAAAAATACGATTAGCTTTATCAATAGGAACTATAACATATTTTTCTTGTTATTCTTGGATCTCATTTTTTAACTGATGAAACAAATCTATATGGTATTTTTTAGTTTTACACAGGATAACTTAAATTTCCTTTTTTTTTTTCTTAAGTACATAAAACTTTCATTCCAAAAACCATCTAAGTGGATAAGATGTAACATAGTTAAGTTTCAAAATGTATTCAACAGTATTGTTTTCAATAGATTTTAAAATATTTTGCTTATTACATTTTGTGGCCATTCTGTATTTAGATCCTTTTTTAAGTATTTCACACAGTAGTTTATCTTTTGTAATTTCCAAGTTACCAGTAATAATGTGTTTATGAAAAGTATCACTAAATGAATTATTTTTACACTCACAGGGTAAATTATTAACTTCATCTATATTTAAATTAGTTAAAAAAATCTTATAATTGTATAATAGTGGACCAATTGGAACTTTGCATTTATAACTAACGGTAGGCTTTAAATTTTTACAAGGCAAAATATTATTTTTATAGATTGATGAATAATCTTATAAATCTGAAATTCATAGAATACTTTGTTTAAAATTAATTACCAAATATGAAGTCTTAATTTGTGGTTTCTATTTTTCAAATCTTGATAAATCAATCTTTAACTTTTATTCAATATTTTATAATGTCTAGAATTAAATGTTTTGCATGATCATTTCGAAAATTAAAATTTGTAATTATATTGATGAATGCTCTTATTTTAGGAAGATTAAGTTGATAAGTATTTTTAAAAGATAATTTATGTGCATTAATACTAGAATAAAAAATATCTAAATTATTATAAAATTCTAAAAAAATCAACCCATCATAATTTATTTTTTCTTTTAACCCTTATTTTCTTTTATGAAAATAAATATCTGTAAAGAAAATATTAGTGATACAGTAATCATTACTCAAATTCAAAGCAGTAGAGTTATTAAAATTGTGGTTTAATCCATAAGGACATAATGTTTTTAATTTCAAAATAAATAAGTTTTCTTGTTGAAGTCTGTTGGTTTCTTCATTAACAATTTTGTGATATAGTTATCTTAACAGAAGTAAAAAATGAATTCTAAAATGCTTTAATTCTATGGAATTCATTAAATTGTTTTAACTTGAGATCTGTGCAAGTTTATACATACATGTAATGGATTTAAAGTTTGACCCACATATTTTGTATTACATTCAGTACAAGTTATTAGATAAACTACATTATTTATTTTGCAGAATAAATTTGTATGAGTAATAGAATGAAAAGTGTTTAGAGCAGATCATGTGAGACATTGTTTGCTATTACATTTTATAACATTAGCAGCTATATAATTAATATAATCAGCTCGCTAGGCTAAATTATAGTAGACACAATTTGTCTATTAGTTATCGCAATGACACTTAATTGCATAAAGATCGAACAATGTAATGGAAAAGTGAGATCTAATGAGCAAGAAATCATATTCGTTGAATTTATGTATAGAAAATCAACTCAAACAGTCAAGCAAAACAAAATAAAAAGGAAGGACTATATTAAGAAACAAGAAATCCAAACCTGTGATAAATGATATCCAAAAAAACAAAAATAAGCCTAAACAAAAATTAAATCAAAGACACTGCACAAATCCAGAGGATCTCCAGGGCAAAGCTTTTAAAGTTGACTGAAGTTTATTTTTAGTTCTTAAAATTAATATAGGTTATCATGTGATTTGAGAGAGAGAGAGAGAGTCCATCCATAGACTTGTTTTCTCTGCACAATAGCAGTACCATCAATAGTTTGTTTTGGAATTCCTTTTGACTGTGACTGGTTCTGCAGAGAGATTATTAGTCCTGACCTGAAAGTAGGTTAGGCCAAGGTTCCCAAACTTATCAGCTTGGGCCCATCAAGACCTTTGACACACTGGTTGAAGACCACACCTAAAGATTTTAGATATTTTAAATAATAGCCATCCTGAAATATCTTACTTTCATTGAAATATGTTCTCTGACAAAACAACAATGTTGTGTAATCATCATTATTGCAATAAATAAAATTATCTTGTGCTAGAGGAGTTTTAAAGAAAATATTTCCACATATGGTGAGACCCTCTGAGACCATTCTTTGGACTCTAGTTTGGGAATCATAAGTTAAGTAGGCAATCACTTGACTTTCAAGTTATTCACAAAACTGTCCTAACACATCTTTGTTGTTATTTGTACATGTAGAAGAAAATCGTGTTACCTGACAGTAACTGAGATTACTGATAATTTCTTGCAATTTATTATTTCAGTGCATAAGTCACAAAAGGTAAAGGTATTAGGCCAATTGCTTTGTTCAATAGGTTACAAATGGTTCACTTTTCATACTTACTCTCATGGTTTGGTGGTTCGGGTACTTGACTTGCAATATGGAGGTAGCGGGTTTGAATACCCATCCTACCAAACATGCTTTCCCTTTCAGCTGCAGAGGTGTTATAATGTGACAGTCAATCTCATTATTCATTGGTAAAAGAGTAGCCTAAGAGTTGGCAGTGGGTGGTGTTGACTAGCTGTCTTCCCTCTAGTTCATCACTGCATAGCTCTCGTATAACTTTGAGCAAAATTCAAAGCAAACGAAATCATACTTACTCCAATAAATATATCACACTGATAAGCAAAATAATTAAGTAGAAAGCAAAAGCTTGAGATCAAAGTGACAAAAGGTTATCAGCTGTATGAGAAAAATACATTGGTTAATCTTGTTTTGGTTTAATTAATTTAATTATATTGACTACATTTTGTGTATAAAAAATAGTGATTCTTGTGTATATTGTGTAATTTCTACAAACTTGTATTTACTGTTTTTACCTTTTGTTAATTATTCAAAGTATGATTGTATTTTAATTTTATAGAAATATGATTAGTAGTTACAGATTTCTACAAAAATAACTAAAAATAATTTTCTGTTTGCATGCTTTTGTTGCTAGAATTTTTCTTTTTATAAGCATTAACAAGTAATCTGTGTATTTCAGGTAACAGGAATAGCTCTTATTGCTGTTGGTGCATGGGTACAGGCCAAGGCAGCTGAGTATGTTGACTTCCTTGGAGATAGATATGCTTCAGCACCAATCTTGCTTATTGTTGTTGGTGTTATCATCTTTATCTTGTCTTTTATGGGCTGCTGTGGTGCCATAAAAGAAAATTACTGCATGGTGATGACAGTAAGTATAGAAAACATGAATCTAGTAGCATTTGCAATTATTATTATAATAAAAAATTCAGATTGATAACTAGAATAAAATTTCATTTTCTAGCTTAGTCCAATTTGTCTCACATATTTAAGTACATGTAATGCTTCTTTTTAAGAATGTTTGTATAGTATATTGAATGTTATTTCCAGCAAAGTTGAGAATATCACAAAGAAATACCATGTATTCACTTGATAAAATGCAAAATGTTCACAATTTTTTTTGATCCTGTTATTTGTGTGCAGACTTTTCTAATAATATTGATGTCTTTGACCCTTAGTCATTTCTACCTGTATATTTATATTTACACATGCTAGGCATCATCTCCACCCATACATGTACGCCAATTACGGTAATAGAAAAAAATCTTTAAAGGGTGATAAACAGTTAATATAATCTTAATAAAAAATGTTGGCTTGTTTTTTCAAGTTACCATTGAAAAATTTTTAAGATATATTGTATAATCTAATGAATAAGGTAATGTGTATATAAAGAAACTATAAAGATTGAAACATATTTCTGTTGCTGCTAAAATGTACATTCCAAAAAGTGTAAATATGGGAATATCTAAAGTAGTAAGTTTCTAAGTTCATCATTGTGATCATTAATAACAAATAACTGCTTCTTTTTATTTCTTCTTGATCCACTTTGCAGTAACAAACATTTAAAAAAAGGAGGTTTTTGTTTTGATGGCAATAATTATCTGGTGCTGTGAAATATAGTTTCTTTTATTTATGATAACTCAACCTGTTTATATGATCGTTTTAAAAGGTTTTATTTTATTTATTTTGTTTTACAAGAGTTCACATTTGAGAGTTCAGTAAATTTGAGAATAACATCTTGACATTGTTTAACATTTTGAAGATGGTGTGATACCAGTGAAAACTGATCTCTTTTTGGGAAGAGTATGTAATAATGCAAAAAATATATACATTGATATCATAAAGATTTATTAATGTTGGGGAGTTAGAATTTTCAAGATGGGTATAAATAACCTTTGGACTTAATGCAATTGGAAAACAAAAGAATATGGATCAAACTGGGGCACCAGGATCATCCAGAAAAATAACTGCAACTAGTTATACCCAAAACAATATTTTGTCTTGTAACAAGTGAGAATCCATGAACACAAATGTTAGTGGCAAAAGCATGTATCAAGTAATAGTACACAACATAAACAAGAAGAAACTTCACAAGCCACCTGTACCAAAATTGATTTCTTGACATACCTGAAGTTGCTGGAGAATAAAATGGATATTCATGTTATTCCTTAAGAAGATATACTGGGTAAAATGCCATATGCAGTCCTTATGGGTTTCTGTGAGATCAGATTGTTTAAATGGGCACTGGGAAACTGTCATTCTTGTACATACTCTAGATAGGTTATGGAATGCAAGCAGGGAGAAGTGGTGTTCTTTGGGCATTGCAATTTATGATAGAGCCATTAGAAAAGGAAAATATAATGCAGGACTTTTGTTGAGATGCACAGTCATTATATCGATAGAGCATGACCAGACATAGCAACATTGTTTGTAATGATGATGTGAGGCTCCCAAATTATTTTAGTATAATGTAATCAACTTCTGAAGAAGAGTGAATTTGTTATTTATATTCAAGTAAATATTTATAATTTTTTTATAGTTTGGTGTTCTGTTGTTTATCATCTTTGTCCTGGAACTGGCAGCTGGTATTGCAGCTTATGTATACAAGAGTGAGGTATGTGTATGAAAATTATGTATGTTAATTTAGTGTGTGTGTGTGTTTTTTGTATGTATTGACTTATGGTGTAATTTGAAGGAAACATTAATACATTCATTGTTATTTTCCAGTTAAGATCTTTAGTTAATATGTAATAAGATAAATGATCAGTAAATGTAGTAACATGATTTTGAAGACTTTTGATTATAATTTCCAATATACATTATATATGTAGCTTGTTTTGTATGCTTTTAGTGAATTCTAATTATAAATATAAAGTATATTGTGGTATGCTTGTTGTAACAGATACTACAAGAATAATACTTACTTTATTTGAAGGTATAGGTGAATGTTTGATTTGTTTAAGTTTGATTTGATACAAATTAGTGGTGGGAAAGTCCTAGTGATTTCAAAAACAGTAAATAAAAATAATAAACTAACTGATGTTAGTGTTTCTTATATTACTGTTTTCTGTTATTCCATCTATTCAAGACTTGTATGAGAGTAATTGAAAGTAATCAATTAAAGAGCCTAATGATTACTTGCCTGTCTCTAAAAGTAACAAAACATTTACTGTCTTAATGTTTATAATAGTAAAATACTAAAGTAAGTGTAATAGTAATTGATTTATTTTATACAGTAATTACTTTTCACTATATTTTTTTATATATACATATTAATTCATTGTAGTGGCTTGCAATTTTCTATTGATATTAAACGTAAGAGCATTTTCCAACAGAGTTTAGTAGAGCCTGGAGGATAAACTTTGGTAGAACTAGACTTGTAAAGCAAAAAAAAAAAAAACACTAAGGTTTTCCTTTTTAGTATTAAAAATACTTTTTCTGGATATCAATGAACAGAACATTCAGAAAATGAGGACTTTTGACATGGTTTGGAATACCTTTTCATTTCTTTTGTGAAGTATGTATTCAGCTTCATGATGTTACCTGTAAGGAAATTCAAGATACAAGTTATGCAGCTATGGGATAGTTAGGTTGTTGTTTTTTTAAATAGATGCCAGGCTGTCTTGTGTGTGGTGTTGAAATGCTACAGCATCAAAGAACTTTGCAACACCATTTTCTTCTATGACCTTGGATATTTTGTCAGTCCAAAATTCCCCCTCTGTCTGGGGCAGAGCTGGTTGATTAGTAGTATTTGTTATGTATTAGCCAAAAAAATAAAAAGGTAGTGTTTGCTGCCATCCTGTTGCCTTCCCTCTAGTCAACAGTTCAAGAAGAAAAGGGGGGGGGGGGGAGCATTGAATGCCATCAGACAATTGACTTATTTTTAGTCAGCAGTAAAACATTAGTGACAGTGGCAGATAGCTTTAGAAGCTTTTCCATAAAAAGAGAAAACAGGGCAAGCAAGCTTGGTACTAGTGGTAATTAAACCCAAGAATCTCGAATCATGAGACCCCCCACATTCTTGAAAGCTGAACAAATCTGAAGTAAATAAAAACAAGGCTAAAATTTGGCAGAGCTGGAATAATCAAAAATAGTGATAATCAGAAACCCTAATTTTGATTAGTTGATTATTTTTGTGACAGTCAATATAATTGTAACTTTGATTAATCAATTAATAAATTAATAAATTTAATTGGTTAAATCATCCAGCTCTAGTCTGGGGTTGTGCTAAATCGGAATGAAATTCAGACATTTAATGTTGGTGTAGTTAAATGACAAAGTTTACACCTGGCTCATTCCTTAGGTTACTTCGTTTATCATATTGGAGGCCTAGTGTACATATTTATGCCATTTTCAGCTTTACATCATGATCAACTCGTTTGGGTACATTTGGCATATACTGCTCTTTTATACAGCTCCCAAGCATGATATTTCTATGTTTTTAGCATAGTCAACAAACCTTACAATGTTGAAGCTTGAATGGTTACTTGGTAATGAAAAGGCAATGTGTAAACCTGAAAAGTTAACTTTTTCAAACACATTTTCTGATGAACAGAACACATTCAGTTCGACAGTTTAATTTTTATTTTCACTAATACACTGGCTCTTGTGTAATGGGCAGTGCCCTTAGGGCTAGTCATTGGAGCTTTGACTGTACTGCTGATTACACCAAATTTATTTAGTTGAGGATTGCTGTGGGGAGTGGAGCTCACAAGTTGCTAATTCTAGGTAGTTTACAGTTAGACTAAAGAAACGGATTCTGAGACTGACATTGAACAAAATACATCAACATTTATTAGGTCTTTCTACATAGTATACACCTTTAACATCAGCAGTTAACACTTACTAAACCATTAGTTTCTTAACAATTCCAACTTTCACTTTTCAGTTAAACAGTATTAACCAATAGAATATTTCTCTATTACAAGCATTAACTTCCTTTATTAAACTACATTAATTGAACAAGAGAGATAGCAATTCTATACTTACAACATGGTTGGACTGTCATATTTCTGGAGGTTGGAAATCTTTATATTCATGTTGACTTGGAAACCTCAATTTGTCCTGGAGAAAACTTCAATTCTCCCTAGAGATCACTTGATTTTTAGCTCCAGATATGAGTTTTATACTGTATTTTATTTGTATCCTTTCGATTTTCCATATAGTATTCCTGACTACATGCAAGTAATCCTGACACTTTATTGTCTAATTTCTGCAACCCATTGGGCATTTCCAAAGCAAGAACCAAAACTCTCAAGTAATTGGTTACTGTGATAGTGAGTGCTCCGGGTTGCCTTCTCACTTATACTACTACATCAGGCTGAAGTAATGAATCTTACATCAAAGTGCTGATTTGAGATGGTATTATAAACTTTTTAGAAGTCTTTACTATGCTACTAACTCGACATCAGTAACTTATCAGTGTCAAACTCGTGACTAGCATTTTTCTCAGTGTCCTCTCTGTAGCTTTATTTTTTATAACTCTTAGCTCGTGATTCTCAATACTAACTAGCCAGCTAACTGTGCTTTGCCTAGTTCTTGACCCAATTTCGCAATACAGGCAACCTTCAGTTACGCCATTTCTTCATGTATATGCACCACACTCAGAAACATAAATTTCTTTAGTTTCTTTCTTAAACATAAAATACTGAAGCAACTGTGAAATTCCCTCAAAAACATCGAATTGCTGCACTTGTACACAAGGCCTACTGTGTGTCATTAACTTTTTTACACTTGATCCTTTGCTATTATTAGTGCAAGAAAGTGTTAACTTTGTAAAGGCATTTTTTATGTCTGATTGTGTGATAACTCATTTTAAAAGCATTAAGGGCATACATTTGATCACAATAATTAAAACTGAAAGTTTATTTTTTGTCCTGGTTTCTTTATTGATAGGTCATTTTTACTCATTCTCACTAAATAATATTATACTTGATAGCCACTTAATTTACTGAATTCATAAATTGACCCATTTAAACTAAAGTATTGACTGAATTATTTTTTTTATGTCTAAAAGCATAACAGCACAAAAATTTTAAAAGTTCCATACCCTTTTTTTTGTAGCTCATGGGTGCCCGCACGAAGGGGCAAGATGAGGCATTTGCCCCCCACTACACACACATTTTGCCTAAAATTGCACATATTATGATGTATACTTAACATCATGGTTCAACTAAATATTTTTAGTAATTTTTATTAAAACTTTAAAATTTTGTTTGCATTTGGTACTTTTAGTGGATATAACTAGTCAGCAGATATGGATTTTGTGGAAGCACCACATTTTAGATTACTTATTTTTAATATACTATGAACTTTAGATCTGTTTTTTGATAATGATCACATTTCCTAATATGAATTAAATAAACAAAACAAATTAAAACACCACTTGAATACTTGAATGCAGTGTTTTTCTTATTTTTAAGCTTGATGAACCAATTGAAAGATACAAGAGAATGATGTATAACAAGTTTCTAGAAAGAGGTTCATTGATCAGTTATTTTATACTTGAAGTAACCTTTTTTTTCTCTTATATTATTGGTCTGAACATTAATAATCATGTCTGGATTATCAACTGTCAAAAAAAAAAATTATAGTACACCTTAATGGTCATTGGCTGCCCAAAGACCTTGTTAGCTTTTTACCAGCTAGCCACCACTAAATTTCAAGCCCTGAAGTGTGCACAAAGTATGTTTGACTGTGGGAACTGAGTGTTAACTATTACTGATATCTTGACTATAAACTTGGTGAAAAGTATGTTATGTATAAAACTATTTAAGACACAAACTCAAAATTTATTAACTATATAACATTTTTATAGTATTTTGGCACTTGTGTTTAAAGTTAAAATCATAAATAATAATCAACGTTAATCTGGTACACAATTAAAAACATTTTATTTAGGCTTATCTATGGCCTTCAAAAAGTTGACGACTCTACATGTTTTGACGTTGAGGATGACGTTACAACGTCAAAACATGTAGAGTCGTCAACTTTTTGAAGGCCATAGATAGGCCTAAATAAAATTTTTTAATTTTGTACCAGTTTAATGTTGAATATTATTTATGATTTTATATAACATCTATTGCACTGAATCTAAGAGTGCTTTCAAAATATGCTT